CAAGGTGAGAACTGCCCTGTCCCTGCTTTACACGGGCACAGCTGGCAGCCAGCAAGGTGGGGATTGCTCTCTGCATGGGCACACCTGGCACCAGCAAGGTGAGAACTGCCCTGCAGGGGCACAGCTGGCAGCCAGCAAGGTGGGGATTGCTCTGCAGGGGCACAGCTGGCAGCCAGCAAGGTGAGAACTGCCCTCTGCTCTGCACAGGCACAGCTGGCAGCAAGGTGGGAACTGCCCTGCCCTGGCTCTGCAGGCCCCAGGCAGAGCTGCAGTGCATTCCAAATCTGACTCAGTCCCTTCTTGTTCTCAGTCTCCTTCCAAAGCCTGAACCAACAATCCAGTGGAGGAACCGTGGCTGTGGTGGGGAGAGCAATCAGCACCCCAGAGGGTGAGTAGGAACTGGCGGTGCCATTACAATACAGTAAATCTTCTGTGCTGAATATTCTAATTCTCACTAACCAATCTAGTACAAGATACAAATCCTACAGCATTTACACACAGCCTATAAGAATCATTACATTGCCATACTGTGCTACATTTTAAACCCTAAAAACTCCTCTTTGGGCCCCTTCTGCCAAGCTGTAGGGTCTGCTCTGACCCTTGGGCCTGTCTGCAAGCAGAGGGTGTTGTTCCATCAAAAGGGGATCACCTTCAGCCGGCCACACCATTGTTTTCCAGTTGTTCAGTAACTGAGGTATCTCAAAGCTTGCTTTCATTTCAATCTCACTTATAGTTTCCATATTCTCAAAATCTTTTGCCAGACAATCATATCGATAAGGCTCTTCTGTTTCATCTTCCCCAACAATGGCTGTGGATTATTTATTTATCTAAGTGCTTGTAGGAAGGAAGAGCCCTCCTGAAACGAAGGGATGAGAAAACTGAAACTGTGAAACTGAAAAGTACAGTGCAGTGTCTCCATGTGCATCTCATAGGCTCAGTGCAGGAGGGAATTTATTTTGGGATGCTGAGATAACAGTGCCCTTTGTTCCCTCCTTGGCTCTGGGGTGCTGAAGAGGAAGGTGGTTGTGCTTCCTCAGCCCAGAGGTGTGGCAGTGCCCCTCACACACTGCAGAGCCCTGAGCAACCACTGGAAAATCTGATCCTGCCCTTCCTTCCCCGTGTGCTGGGCTGCACTTGTTGCCTCAATGTTTCTCTTTGCCTGAGCAATTAGCAAAAGAAAATAAAAGCGGGGTTTTGTGCAAGAAGTGTTTTTAGAGAGCAGGATTCTTTGAGTGCTGTGGTCTCCTGGAAGCTTGCACGGCTGTTGCTCTTAAAGCACCATATGGTGAAAAAGGAGGGAAAATGTTAATCTGCAGTGGTGTTGGAGCTGAATTCCTGCTTTGCTTGGAGGCAGCATGTGTCCTTCAGCAGGGAGACAAACTGTACAGAGCAGGAGCATCACTTCAGTCAGCGTGTGTTGAGCCATCTGTATGGCGGCACAGGCTGACAGACAACCAGAATAAAACATTTTATTCCTCTGCTGTATCATTCTGAGACTGCTGGAGACGCAGTTCTTTGTAAACAGGTTTGTACTTGAGAAGTTGGGAGCAGCTGTCCCCTCTTGCTGCCTCCTTCAGCTGTTCTGGCTGTGTTCTCTCCCTTCCCTTCTGGCTTTGGGGCTCCTCAGCTCCTGCTTTGTGCTTTGGGAGCAGCTTCAGTGAGCTGGGTTTGTATATAAACACATTTATATACAAATATATACACATTTATGTACAAATGTGAGGGGGGATTGTATATAAACACATTTCACACTTCAAGGAAGCCCTACTTCCCCCCTTTTCCCCCCATTTTTTCCCATTTCTTTTCTACTTAATCTTTACCATTTCTTTCTCTTTCTTCCCTATAAATGTTTCCTTACCACCCCCATTTTTTTCCCATTTCTTTTCTATTTAATCTTCACCATTTCTTTCCCTTCCTTCCCCATGAATGTTTCCTTACCAAGGTAATTTTTTCAGGCCCACACTGCACAGAGTCACTGGCACAGTCCTGGGAGATGCAGGGCAGAGTTAAGGCAGATGGATCAAGTTTGATTTCTGCTCTAAGCTTCAGTGATTCCCTTCTAGGACAGGGCAGGAGTTACAGAGCAAACCCAGCTCAGCTGTGAAGTTTCCAATTCCTGCCCTATAAAGCACTTCCTACCTTAATTCCTTGTGAAAGGTTCTGGGAAACACGAGCATAAAACAGAGCGTTGAGTTAAGTAAAATCTGAATATTGTGACATCTCTCCATGAGATAAATGACAGGAAAGAGACAGCTGACAACCAGGGCCTATTCAGGCAAGCTAAATTCTACCTAGCTCCCCTGTCAAGTGATTCCTCTTGTCTGGCTGCTCCTCACTGAGTGGCTCTTGAGGGCCTTTGGCGGTTTTCAGATTCTGCCTTGAGGAAGAGGAGCAGCTGCTCTGGGTGGGATGAGCTGCTGGGAGGGATGGCTGTGCCAGGCAGGGCAGGGGGCACAGCACCAAGGTGCCACCCTGATTGCCCCCAGCCAGGGGGGCTGTGAGGGTGGCATTTGGGATGATGTGCCCATCACACTCAGCACAGGGGTTTGGGGCTGGCATTTGGGGTGCCCATCACAGCACAGGGGTTTGAGGCTGTGTTTTGGGGGTGATGTGCCCATCACACTCAACACAGAGGTTTGGGGCTGGGATTAGGGGGTGATGTGCCCATCACAGCACAGGGGTTTGGGGCTGGCATTTGGGGTGATGTGCCAGCACACTCAGCACAGGGGTTTGGGGCTGGCATTTGGGGGTGATGTGCCCAGCACACTCAGCACAGGGGTTTGGGGCTGGATGGGAGACCCTGAGGTCTGTGAGGAAGAGATAGATCTGTGTGTTTGCAATTAACTGGATTTACTTACTCTGTGACACTTGAGTATGGCACAGCAGCGTGCCTTGCCCTCTGGCTGTGTCACAGGCTGCTAATATGTGATTATTTTTTTTTTATTTTATTTCCAGAGACCATGAGTGAGTTGACTTTTGGTGCTGGGGTCAGCTACATCAGCCCGATGCACACACCCCATTCAGCTCCAGGCAAGTCACCTCTGGCACTCTTATTTGAGGGGGAGGGGGAAATGAAACCAACCCCAAATGACCAAACTCTGTGGCATTTTGTAAAATACGAAAACATCTGTATTGTTTGCAGTGAAGAAAGAGGCTGAGGATGGGCCAAGGGATATCATCTGTTTGACATCGCCGGAGAAACCGTGAGTGCAGCATGGGGCTGGGGCTGGCACTGCTGGGAGAAACAGGGGCTGGGGCAGGCACTGCAAGGAGAAACAGAGGGGCTGGGGCAGGCAGGGAGAGGGGCTGGAACAGGCACTGCAGGGAGAAAGAGAGAGAAGGGCTGGAAGAGGCACTGCTGGCAGGCAGAAACACTGGAGCAGCTACTGCATGCAGGGAAAGGGGCTGGAGCTGGCACTGCAGGCAGAAGCACTGGAGCAGGCACTGCAGGAATAAAGAAAGGTTGGAACATCCACTGCAGGCAGAGGGGCTGGAGCAGGAACTGCAGGCAGGGAGAGCTGCTGGAGCACTCACTGCTGGCAGAGAGGGACCAGAGCAGGCTGAGAGAGAGAGAAGCTGGAGCAGCCACTTCAGGCAGAAAGAGAGGATGGAACAGGCAGAGAGAGAGGGGCTGGAGCAGCCACTGCAGGCAGGGAGGAGCTGGAGCAGCCACTGCTAGGAGAGAGAGGGGATGAAACAGGCACTAAAGGCAGAGAAGTTGGAGCAGGCACTGTAGGCAGAAAGAGAGGCTGGAAGATCCACTGCAGGCAGAAACACTGGACTACTGCAGGCAGAGAGAGAGAGGCTGGGACAGGCATTGCTGGCAGAGAGAGAGGCTGGAGCAGTCACTGCAGGCAGGCAGAGAGGGGCTGGAAGATCCAGTGCAGGCAGGCAGAAACACTGGAGCAGGCACTGCAGGCAGGGAGAGGGGCTGGAGCAGGCAGAGAAGGGCTGGAGCAGCCACTGTAGGAATAAAGAAAGGCTGGAACATCCACTGCAGGCAGAGAGAGAGAAGCTGGAGCAGGCACTGCAGGCCAAAAGAAACACTGGAGCAGCCACTGTAGAGAAAGAGAGGGGCTGGAGCAGACACTGCTGGCAAAGAGGGGCTGAAACAGCCACTGCAGGCAGAGAGAGAAGCCAGAGCAGGCACTGCAGGCAGAAAGAGGAGCTGGTACACTCACTGCAGGGAGAGAGAGGAGCTGGAGCAACCAGTGCAGGGAGAGAGAGGTTGGAGCAGGAAGAGAGAGGGGCTCTAGCAGGCAGAAGGAGAATGGAACAGGCAGAGAGAGGGGCTGGAGCAGCCACTGCAGGCAGGGACAGGCTGGAAGATCCATTGCAGGCAGAGAGGGGCTGGAGCAGTCACTGCAAGCAGAAAGAGGGGCTGGAACACTCACTGCACGCAGAGAGAGAGGGGCTGGAGCAGGCAGAAAGAGGATGGAACAGGCACAGAGGGGCTGGAAGATCCACTGCAGGCAGAGAGAGGGGCTGGAGCAGCCACTGCTCGGAGAGAGAGGGCTGGAACAGGCAGGGAGAGAGGCTGGAGCAGGCACTGCAGAAGGGCTGGCCGAGGGTTTGGACATGCAGGGCTGTTCTCCTTCCTTCCCGCAGCCCCTGCCGGCCCAGGGAGTGGAAGGTGGAGTCCCCAGCCCGGAGGAGCGGCCAGGCGGGGCCCCTGCGGCGCTCCCAGCGCAGAAACCCCCCGAGGGCAGACACCTGAGAGCGGCACACTGAGCTGCGCACAGCCACCAGCCTCCTGAACTGCCCCTGCGATTGGAAACGGCTGTGGACGCTCATCCTGCCCTGTCTGCTCCGAGCTGGCTGCCCCCAGAGCTGCACACACCCACCAGGCTCCTGAACTGCCCCTGCGATTGGAAACGGCTCTGAACGCTCATCCTGCCCTGTCTGCTCTCCCCAGAGCTGCCCTGGAGATGGGCAAAGCCTGCACAGCACAGGGATGGGTTCAAAGTGCTGCTCTTCACACTGCAGGGCTCAGAGCTGCAGAGTGACAGGAGGGTGGCTTTTCACTCTCTGGATGTGTAATTTGTCCATTTGGAAAAGTAAGGGCATAATGTCACCACGAGCTTGGCAATAAATTCATTTATCACAGCTTGCAGGGCAGTGAGTTTGCTCACCCAGTCCCTCATTGTCCCTCTCGGTTTTATAATAGAGTTGCTTTAATTCGAAAAAAGGTGAAACAGCTTGTCACTGCCACACCCCTAAATCTGGTAATTGCACGCTACATCACCTCTTATTTGTTGTGCAAACTCCTGTGTGTATGAACAGCCTTAATGTTCTTTTTATATGGAATATTTCCATTCTTGAACTGTGTTATTTCCAACTATTAGCATTTGATGAAAATAAATGGTTGCAGAATTAATTCCACCCACGGCGTCTCCCCTTTTCTTCAGCTGACAGAAAAATTATTTTATTTTTTTTCCCCTGTAGATTTCTACAGCTTCTCAGTCTCTTCTACCACATCATTGGTATCTTGGGCCCTCAGTTCAATTAATGTTGGCCCAGCAGCTTTTAAATAGAGGCTTTGACTTGGCTGCAAGCAGGGTATGAGTGACTCAGACAAGGTGGGTAAGTGCCTTGTTTATCACAAATATCCTGGGTAAATCTGACCCTTCCTGAGTCTCCCTGATGGCCACGTGCACCTCACTGAAGTTTTCCTGGTTTTAGCTTTTATCACAGAGCTCATGGCCTAGATTTCATTGAAACCTGGAGCTGGGATCTGTTTTATTCCTGCTGGTTTGCCCAAGTCAGACACCAGCCCCAGGCACGGAGCAGGGTTTGCTGCAGGAGTGGAAACAGAGGCACTTTGCTCCTGCACTGGAATCCCAACATTTGCCTCCACTTTCCCTACTCTCTTTTGAAGATCAGAGAAGCCTTCAAGTGAGGTTAAACTTTATTCCCAAAATCAAAGTCAGAGAACAGAGGATGTATGGAATGGCTTTGGCTGAAGCTATGGCCAAACCATTTATTTCTGTCCCTTCTGTCCTGCCTTCAGCTATTATTTAACCACTCTGAAGGGTAAATTTGGATTGTTTATTTCCTGCTTTTAGTTTTGTCCTCGAGCAGTGTCTGAGATGAGCCCTGTGAGTTTTAACCTGTCTTCTCTAGAAAAGAACCAGGAGCAAATGTCCAAGAATAAACTGATAAACAGCCCTGGACTTTGTCACCTCCATCCACTGAGAGTGCTCTGACAGGAGAGACTTTCCCTCATTTCACTGAATTGAAAACAGGAGCTTCCCATAATTTGGCTGCTTGAAAACCACCACCAAGCCCAAACAAAAACCCCTACAAGAACGCTTTATAGCCTGGTATTTATGTAAAACATTCTTGGCAAAGTTAAAAGGTAATACATTAGTACAAACCTGAATATTATTCACAATGATACAATGAATTCATCCATCAGCTCTCACGAGCTGGGTAGGGGAAGGATCCTCTCCCCTTTCTCTCGTTAGAGATGCCACTGTGCATTTTAGAACTGGGGGAAAAATAATAAAATGAAGTTTGGATTCCTAGCTCTGCTGGTTTGCAGATTGTGCTCCCAGAGCTACCCTGGTCCAACCCTTTCCTCTCTCTCCTTTATTGAGGTACCCTGAAAGCAGCACAGAGGAGCAGTGGGATGCAGAGGAATGTCAGAGCAATTAGAGGCAGCAATCAGCACCGGGTGGTTGGATGAAGAGCTGGCATTAAGAAGGTAACCAGGGAGAAGCTGCAGGATATTGGTGATGGGTGAGTTACACAGAGAACACCCGGCTGGGGCTGCCCCATTGTTGCCTTTGCTTCCCCTGGCAAAGGGACAGGTGGCAATGCTTTGTTGGGGTGGAACAAATGCAGCAATGGCATGTCCAGCGAGGGCTCCAGGAGACAAAGCAGAGTAAAGCAGTACACGAAAAAAATAACACTGACAGTCCAAATTGTCAAGTATCCAAAATACTGTGTACAGGAAAAAGTTAAGACAACTCAATTCATATTGGAAATACAAGAACACTAAATTCTGCTACATTAAAAAACTTCCTAAACCACAGCACAGTCCTAGTGTTGCATCCACATCTTGCAGCCTGGTCTCACCCAATGCTGTTCAACACTATCAACGTGGATATTTTGGGAAACAAAATATTCCCCATCAATTCTCTCTAAAGCCAAGAGAACCAAATTTGGTTGGTTTTGCTTCTTCCTTTTTTCTTTTTTTTCCTTTACCATCTAGAGAAGAATTTCATCTGACACTGTAAAAGTGCTTTTGTGTTGAGCTTTTGCTTTCCCAAGCCCAGAAACAGTGGCCTTGGCCATGTGGTTTAACCCTGCCAAGCTGCTGTAGCTGTCACACTGTGTTAGTGCTTTAGGGAACTTGCAGAGGGGCAGCAAACACTGAAGTCACTCTGTCACCTCTTTGGAACTGAGTCCAAAAGCCATCCTGGCTATTTCTTGCAATGACAAAAACAAAGCTGGTCACTGGCAAGAAATTTTTTTTTTTTTTCATATAAAAAAGTTGATAGCTCCTGCCATAAATTTACAAAAACTATCCCTGAGTGACTCTGTTCTGTGTCTGGTAAGACCTCTTGTGACAAGGAAATGGCTGAAGCTGGCTGAAGAGGAAAGAGATGCTGTTCCACCTGCAGCTTTTTGTTACACTTTGCACTAATACTGATATGCTCTGACAGTGCCACACTATAGCAACGTGTGAGCTCCTCTCCTGTAGCTTCAACAGTAAAAAAATAGCTCCGTTACTCAAACGCTGCTGGCATCACATATTTACACTTTTAAATAGAAATGTTACCTTTTTCTGAAGTAATCAAAATAGATCTTTGCAAAAAATTTAGAAGGCTGGGGGGGGTTTTACAAAATAAACGGAGAAGGTAAAAAAAGCTGGAGGAATCTCTCAGTACCTTTTATGGCAATCTCAGCCCAGGAAATTATTTGGCTTTAATTTTCCTGAAAGGGATGTCTTAGCAGTGGCTCCCTGCCTCCCCTGTAAGCCTCTTTGCCCACGGAAGGACACAGGAGCCAAGCCTGCTTTGTGCAGATTAGAACCAGGGGTTACCTGGGTGCAGGGAGCACAGGCACTGCCCTGCCCCTGTCCAACAAAGCATTTGGGGATTTACACAGGGCTGAGGGCATTAGTGGTGGTTTCACTGTCGCTGGTGGCTGGGCACCTGAGCACAAGACAATCACAGATGTGGAAAAGTCACCAGCCAGGCCTGGGCAATGCATTCTTGGGAGGAAATCCCCCAAATTCATTCTTTGAAGTCCATCTACTGCTGTGTCAGCACCCTTTTTTTGTGTCTACTGGTAACACATTGCTGCTCATCTATTACAGGTTTACCTAATGCTGTGCCCCTGCTGGGTTTGCACGTTGTGGCCGTGGCCCTGCAGCACAAAGAGAAGGCAATTCCACAAACTTCACACAGCCCAGTCTCTTGGGAAGGACTGAAAGCCTTCCTCAGTCCAAGGACAGGTTGGGGTGATCCTGTTGGTATCTCCAGAGGCAGGGGAGACGCGAGTCAGGCAGTGAGGAGTTACTTTAAACTTTGGCAAAGAAAAAAAAGATATACAGATAGCTAGCTATCGAGTTCTTGTGTGTTCCAAACTCTTCCAAGCGCACTTAATTCATCTTTTGCTCTTGCTTTGAGTTCCTGGAGGAGGTATTTTCACACTTGCTTTTGCTGGTTTGCGATCTCCTTTTGGCGTCTTAGATGACAAACGAAGACTTGTGTCTGAAGTCGCCCTGCAAGGAAACAGTTTGGGATGTAGGAAGGATTCAGCAGCTTTCCAGGCCCCCAAAAGGTGGATCCAAGCTGTGTAACCATGCCCAGGCAGCTCCCATTTCCCATGGGAAGGAGAGGGAGGCACCAGTTCCCCTCACACACCAAGGCGTGGCAGGGATGTTCTCATTCCCTCACTGATATCTCTGCTAACGGGAGAGGCTTTTTCTGCTCTTAAGCTCAGTGATCTACTCAAATCCCAAAATACAAATTCTCTCCTAAAAGCATCACGTCCTGCCCACTTAATCCAATGAAACTCATCCTAAGGGGGGGGGTCAGGCCACGAGATAACTCGGAGCAGAGCTGCCTCTGATAGCTCCTGGCATCAGTCACTTCAGGCAGCTTCAACTCCTCATCATTTCTAAGGAAATGACTCAGCCCTCACCCTTCTGTTTTCCCTCTGTTCCCCAGCCCTGCTGAGGAGGGGAGCCCACTCTCACAATGCCTGTGGGCCCTCCCAGCTCCCCGTCCTCTGCCCACCCTCTTCCTCTGCTGCCAGGGATGGGAATGCAAAGCGTTTGTTGGTACCTCATCATCTGTCCGGATATAGTTAACGCCATCAGGCTTTGCTGGAGTCTTGTAGCTGAAAGAAAGGGGGAAGAAAAATCTCATTTCTGGGACAGGAAGACTGCAGGGTTTTGGAGGGGAGGTGCTGGGGAAGACGGAAATGAGGAGGAGGAGCTGAGTGAGAAGCAAGCAGAGAGAAACCCAGTTTGTTTCTCAAATGAGATATCTGTGTTTATTCCATCGTTTACCATGACTGGGATTTTGTCTAAATTCCCCTTCAGCACAGGGCGAGAAGATTGCTGTGTGTTTCCCTAAAACTCTGCAAAGAGATAAACTGATTCTTTCCTGGGCTTTGCTGCTTTGGTGTCTGTCACTGCCTTTCTGTGCCTCCTGCTCTGCTTCCTGTGGCAATTATAAAGTTCATTTTAATCCTTCACTGCCAGAAGCCTTCAGCATTTTTCTTAGTTACAAGGAAGCACCACTTGTTTGCAATCCCACAGGAACTCAGGATTTATACAAGACTGTCAAGTCCAGTGTATGCCAACCCTCAGCTGCATTTAAATGGCATATTTAGAGCTTTTTTTCTGAAAAACAAACGAAACCAATGAGAAAAACAAGACAGGACTTGTGCTGAAAAGCAACATTTAGCACAGAACAAATCTATCTGGTGAGAATCTTGGCTTTGCATATATTATCTCCTCTCCAGACTCTGTAAGGACATCGAGGCTTGTCTCTGATGCTAATGCTGTTGTTTTTAACATTTTCATCTGCGCTCCAGAACGGCTGTTTTTCATCCCAAATTTAGGTCCTCACAACTAGTGAGACTTTCTGTGGAGAGCCTGCTCTGCTGCATCCATTCCCTATGCATGTCCTGATGCTTCAGACTAATTAGGCAGCGAGCTGAGATCATTAAACCACGGCCCTCGTTATTCCAACAGCACAGGGGCTGCTGGACAAACACCTGCAGGCATTTAATTGTGCTGGGCCCCCTTTCCATGCAGAGGATGAGGGTGGATACCAGAGCACAGCTCTCGTCCACACCACAATTCTCCCTTAGGAAAATGCCATCCATTCCTGGGAGTGTCCAAGGCCAGGCTGGATGGAGCTCTGAGCAGCCTGGTCTGGTGAAAAGTGTCCCTGTCCACGGCTGGATGGTCTTTAAGGTGCCCATTCACTCTGGGATTCTCTGATGATTCCATGAAATAAACCTGGATGCTGCAGGGTTTTGCAGCTGGGCATTGGGTGCCCCAGGGACTGGCTTGGCGTGAGGACTTTGGTGGGGAATTAGGCACTGAAATTCCTTTTAGCCACTAATTTTTGGCACCCTTCAGACTCCTCCACGCTACCTGAGGGTGCAGGGAGTTGTCCAAGAAGCCCAGCTTACCTTTCCCCACTCTCTTTGCCATTTGCAAAGTATCCCCTTCTGTAGGCACAGCAGATCCCAAAAGTGATGAGCACCAGGACTGCAAGGACCACCAGGACTCCCCCGATTATCCCACCAATATTGAGATCATCTGCCAAAGAGAGACACCAGCTCAGTGTTTCTTCAGGGCAGCAGCCACATTCCAGCTTCACACACACTAAAATGCCATCTCTCATTTTAAGCAATAGTTCACAGGAACTAGTGAGTCCCTGACTTCAAGATTAAATCTGCTCACAATCTGACGTTTCCCTGCATTTTCAGATTATTTTTATCTCCTTATCTTTGGGGCTATGAGAAAGCAGGGAAGACTTAAGGCTGTAGGATGTCCCCCCCCCAATCCTGATGGTGATGGCAATTTACTTATGGTGATAAATCAGGCAGCATTGATGAAAACTGTACAGAGAGCCACTCACAGACTTCCATCTCCTGCTCCTCACACTTGGCAAAGCCAGCCTCGTTTGTTGCTATGCAGGAGTAACGCCCTGTGTCACCTTTGTGCACTGCATGGAAAACCTGGAGAGGGAAAAGGGACAGAGGGAAGGGATGTGACATGAGAAACAAGGCACTGTGAGGGTATAAAAATGTGTATAAACATGCATCTCTGCTAAGATCTTCTCCCATCAATCCTCCCTCTCCCAGCTCGCCCAGACCCTGGCACACCTCACCCTCTTCAAATTATTCATTCCTTGAAAGCCAGGCAATGTTTTTGTGAATTTACAAGCAGCTTTAAAGATAACCTGTCCAGGTAAACAAGTGTTGATCAGGTGTGTCGGGGCATTACCAGAGTGCCTGTGGCAGGGTTCAGGGTGTAGGAGGAGTTGTGGGGTTTGGATTTGCTGTCGGCTGACAGGGGTTCGCTGTTGCGGTACCAGCTGTAGGTGGACTTGGGGAAACCTTCGTTCTCATGGCAGTGAAGAGAGGCTGACTTGCCTACAGGGACAGCTTTAGGCACAGAGCATCTGGGAGTCATGGGTTTCACTGTGGGGAGACACAAACCAGGTGAGTCGCACTGAAATTCTCTGCTCTCTTAGGCAAAACCATCCAAACTCCATTATTCCCAGCTGGTTTTAAACCTCCCAGAGTGGCACTGTTTGGAGATGCCCACAGCCCTTTGTGCTCCTCTTGCAGTGGCTGTGGGTTTGTGTCCTAGATTGCCAAGCAAACTGTATTTTATTTTATTTTATTTTATTTTATTTTATTTTATTTTATTCTGTTATTCTGTTATTCTGTTATTCTATTGTACTCTACATAGAGTTGTGCTCTATTTACCATCTGTATGGCAGCTGTCTTCTGTTCAGTGGGCAGTTTTCCTTATCTCTTCTACACCCACTCCTCCCTCTGGGGAGACATCTGCTGATAACAGCTATTGAATGTCACTGCATGGCTGATAAGAACTACAGCATCCCATTGGGAGATGTGAGCCCAGAGGGAGGAGCCAAGCATTCCTACCTGGATATAATCTGGAGACTCTGGAACACCAGCCAAGCATTCCTGCCTGGATATAATCTGGAGATTCTGGAACACCAGCCAAGCATTCCTGCCTGGATATAATCTGGAGATTCTGGAACACCAGCCAAGCATTCCTACCTGGATATAATCTGGAGATTCTGGAACACCAGCACGGCTTCTCCACTGGGTTCCCCAGAGGAACAGCAGCTGCCTCTTCCCCTGGATCTTCAGAGGAAGAGACTGCACCTTTCTCCAGGATCCCTGCTCCAGCAGAACCAGCCCTGACACTGCAGGAGGGCTGAGCCACAATTCCAATGGGACTGCTGCCCACAGCCTGACCCACAGGGTGTGTTCTGACTCTGTCAGTGTTGGTTTCGTTACTGCATTGTTTATTTTATCCTTTTATTTCCTTCCCTAATAAAGAACTGTTATTTCCTGCTCCCATTTTTTTTGCTCGAGAGCCCCTTAACTTAAAATTTATAAAATTTGGAGAGAGAGGGTTTACATTTTCCATTTCAGGGGAGGCTCCTGCCTTCCTCAGCAGACACCTGTCTGTTCAAACCGAGCCAGGGAATAATGGGAAGTTTTTGATGGTTGGTACCTTGGACTGTGAGCTGGATGTTGATCTCGTCGATGGTTTTGGTGTCAGAGGGCGCGGCCACCTCGCAGCGGTACGTGGCCGTGTCCATCCTCGTGGTGTTCTTGATCACCAGGGATGTCCTGCTCAGGATCTCTGCCCGAGTCGCAAAGTCTCCTGACACACAGGAAAGAGAGAGAAAACCAGCAGGGGAATCAAGATTAATGACTCAAGACTGAAAACCAGGCTCGTTTTGGGTGTATAAATTAAGTGGTTGTTCTCAGACTCTTTTCCAGAGTCAAAGGAACTCGATGCTTGAAAACCCCAAAGGAAACCAAAGCTGCCAACCATGTAAGAGGATGAACTGGAAAGCATCACTCCAAACCTCAAAAACTGTGGCAAAATCGAACTTCCAAGACAGCCTCAGGCCTTGCCTTCTTTGGGAGATACATTTGGATGTGGCTCTTGGTCCCATGTGAAGTGCTGGAGTAATTCCAAATGGAGTCAAGCCCTCCTGGCACTGGAGTTCTCCTGTCAAGCCAGTGAGGCTGCTCCAATGCTCCCAGGATGCTGCAGATCCCTGTGCAGCCTCAGCAGAGAGCAGTGGCGGCTGGACACACAGAGCCCTGCTGGGGTGCAGATGGAGCCCTCAGATGTTCTATGGAAAGCCTGGAGAGATCAGTGCCTGCTCCTGAGAGCTCAGACACCCAATGACCATGGGACCCCCAGAAGGGAAGCTGCATCATTCCTTTCTGACCCCAGAAAATACCTCCTAAGGAGGATCTCACTCCAGCTCCCTGTGTCTCCCTACTGTGAGCTGTCAGTAATGAGGCAGGGAGGGAAAAACATCCTGCTCCCTCTCCATCCTGCACTTCAACTGCTCCAGAAGAAAGCAGCCGGCCAGCCAGAGCTCCTGCCTCTCACAGGCTTGTTTGTTCCCCATTGTGCTGTTTCTGAAAGCTGTTTTGGAAATCTGAGAACAAGGAATCTTCATACCCTGCATTTTGTTGCCAAAAAACACGTAAGAGGTTTCTCCATTCCGGATTTTCTTCCACTCGATTCTGGGATCTGGCGTCACCGTGGATTTAATGATGCAGGACAACTCCACACCTAGCAGGAGAAATGGAGGCAATCCAGATTAATAGGAAGCAGCTGTGTTTTCGCTCTGCTCTGAGCACTCTCACTCAGTGTTTTATTAGGAGATGCTGCCCACAAAGCAGAGCCTTCCCTTTCATCTGCCTCACAAACAGAAACGCTGCTGGGTTCCAGGAGCTATTGGAAGATGGATTTTGGCCAGCAAAAATAATAGCCCAGCAGATATCAGCTATGGAGAGAAATGAACACCCTGTTCTCTGCAGGCTGGGGCTCATGGCAAACAAAACCTTTAGTCAGAGTGAGCCCTCAGCCCTGTCCTGCTGCTGAGCAGAGCCACACCATGAGCCGGGGTGCAGCATGAGCCTGGGCAGTGCCTGGGGATGGGCTGGGACAGCAGCTCCTGGGGATAAACCTGTCACAGACATCTTCTTATGAAAAATCTTTTTTTTTAGGATTTTTCCTCCTGAGAAGCTGAGAAGCCTCAGGAGCAAAATGTAAACTATGGTTAACTGCTGCTGTGGAATGCAACAGGTAGATCTTTGATTGGCTTATCTTAGATGTTTATAATTATTAGCTAATCACAGCTCAGATAGCTTGGACAGAGTCTGAGACAGCTACTTTTGTTATAATTTTTTCTTTTTTATTCTTAACCTAGCTAGCTTTCTGATGAAACTTTTTCTTTCATTCTTTTAGTATAGTTTTAATGTAATATATATTACAAAATAATAAATCAAGTTTTTTGAAACATAAAGTCAGATCTTAGTCTTTTCTTTCAACCTGAGACCCCTGTGAACATCATCACATAAACCCAGCCAGCCCTGTCCCCTTTGCAGCTGGACCTGGCACCCCATCTCTGAGAGAAGCCTTCCCAGTGTCCCAGGCATGTCTGTAGGAGAGCCAAGAGAAAATATCGGAGACATCTTTTTATGGAAAATCCTTTCCTGAGGATTTTTCCTCCTGAGAAGCTGAGAGGCCTCAGGAACAAAATGTAAACAATGGTTATCTGCTGCTGTGGAATGCAACAGGTGCATCTGTGATTGGTCTCATGTGGTTGTTTCTAATTAATGGCCAATCACAGCCCAGCTGGCTCGGACAGAGAGCCTGAGCCACAAACCTTTGTTATCATTCCTTCATATTCTATTCTTAGCCAGCCTTCTGATGAAACCTTTTCTTCCATTCTTTTAGTATAGTTTTAATGCAATATATATAATAAAATAATAAATCGAGCCTTCTGAAACATGGAGTCAGATCCTCATCTCTTCCCTCATCCAAGAACCCCTGTGAACACGGTCACAAGAAAATATATATTTCTCTCTCTGTGTATTAATTGCATTATTTTGCTTCTCTTGGGACCCAGTTCAAAAAAGCACTTAGGCAGAGACTTTGCAATGCCAGTGGCTTGCAGAGGACCTCAATAAACCATTTAAAACAGGGAGATACAGCCACATTCTCAGGCACTCCTCTGAATCCCTGGCTCTCGTAGTCCTGAGGAACCAGTGAGCAACGAGCCAAATCTTCCTGCGTTGTTTGGCCTGATGCAGCACAGGCAGCACTCACTTTGGAATTCCTGCACCACGGGCTTGGTGTTGCTGGATGTCAGCTCCACAGCCAAGAGTCTGCAGCCTGCAAAAACAAACAGAAGGTAATAAGAAATAGCACAGCTCATAAGTCACCCAGCTAGGAGCAGGCTGCCTGCTGAGAAACCCTCCTGGCCAGCTCTGAGGAGTGACTTCCCCAGACAAAACCTCTTCCTGCCTACCAGCACAGCTCCAACAGGACTGAGCTTATTTAGGAGTTTGTGGTGTAAATACAGGAAAATATAATTGTTGGAAGTAGCAATTAAAGAGGAGGATTAACATAATGGCACAAAGGCAGTGCCAGCACGAGCCATTTCCTTGTGCTTGTTTAGATGGGAAAGGAACTGTGGCTAATGCAGGAGTGAAAGTTTTATTTTGAAAATTCACTTGAAGGTCAGAAGACAGGAAGCAGACCAGTCTCCTGAGATCTGGAGTTCCTGGGAGATGGAATGGGCCAGGCCTGGCCTCCAGCAAAAAATGCTGATTACACTGGCAAATACTGCAAGTGTGGTAATGTAAAATGTGAGTAAATCACAAAAGGACTGTGATTCAGGAGAAAACAGCTCAGCTCTTTGGGCAGAGCCCCAGCTAGACCCACACTGGGGAGGAAGCTCAGCCATGCAACGCTGTGAGGCTCCTTACAACACAAACTTGCTTGTTCCCTTCCTGCCCTGAGCACTAATTCCCAATTAATCCAGCCAGCTTCCCTCTTTTGCATGTTCCTTTAGCTTGAAAAATCTGCCTTCTGTGTCCCTTCTGCTGCGCACCCCACCAGAGCAGGCATCAACAGCAGTCACGCTCTGCTGGATGCCAAATTCACCAACAACTCTCCAGAGCGAGAGGGAAACAAGCAGGGATTTCCCTGGGAGAGGAGAGTGAGGCAGACAGGATATTCTGGAGCTGGGTTTTCTGGTTTTCCTTCTCTCATGGTGTCACCAAACCAGGCTCCAAAACCCTCCAGGAGGAGGTTCCATGCTACAGTCAAAATAATCAAAATAATACAAAATATTCAGCTGCAGGGCCTGCCGTGCTCACATGAGCAGCTCTGCTGTGACAAATCCCATCACAAGTTGGTGGAAATCTAAGGGAGATGCCCACTGAGCTCGCTGGGCATTGATCAAACAGCAGCTTAAAAATGATGGAAAACCCTGCCTCAGGGATATGGGATGTGGCTGAAGACTAAGAGTAAAAAGCCATAACAATCATGGATGGAAAGCAGAAAACGGAGATGTGGAGAAAGAAATGATCTCCAGCATCATGACCCAGCTGGCAATTCCTGTGCTGGCTTTCAGGGGGAAAAGCTTTTGGGCATGGACAACATCTCTGATGGAGTGGCAAGGCAGCAGCCTGAGAAACACCCAAGAGCTGCAAAGTCACTCCCACTCAAAGCCTGAGGGCCTCCAACACCTAAACCCCTTCCAGCAATGCTGAAATGTTCCCTGCTGGTTCCTGTTAAACGCTGATGCTTTCCTGGTGCCCCAAAGACCACCAGGGAGAGCTGGAGTTTGGCAGGGCTCAGAAAGCTGCCTTTGTGTCCAAAATCATCGCTTCTCACACAAAAGCCACCAGCTGATGCTAACTAATGGCTGGCCCAGGCAGAACTGCACCTAGCAGGACTTTTCCACCCTTCCCCCTCTGCACTGGAGACGGTCATGCAGCATTTGGGAGAAATCCAACACTGAGCTGAGCTGACAGAGCTCTGCACTGTGGCTCTCTCCAGGCAGGAGCTGGTCTAAGCAGTAATTTCTGCAAGCCTGTGTTGAAGCAGAGTCCATTTTCATGAGAGTTGCTGCTTCCAGACCTACCCCCTGAAAGCAGGGAATTGTGCCAGGCAATGCCAATGCTTTCCCTGCCCTCTTTTTATCACGGAATTATGGACTGATCTGGGTTGGAAGAGACCTTAAAGACCCTCCAGTCCCACCCCTGCCATGGCAGGAACACTTTCCACTATCCCAGGGTGCTCCAGCCTGGCCTTGAACACTTCCAGAGATCCAGAGGCACTCTGTGCCAGGGCCTTCCCACCCTCCCAGGCAGGAATTTGCCCTAATATCCAATCTGTGCTGTCAGCTAAATCCATTCCCCCTTGTCCTGACACTCTGTGCTCTGGTAAAAGGGGATTTTTAAAGTCCCCTGATCCTCCAGGTGCTCTGTGTGGGGCTCCCATCCTCGGGAGCATGAACAGATTCCACTGATCCTAGCAAACCCCAGCGAATGGGAAGCTGCTCTAATCCCCCAAAGACAAGGCATAATTTTGGGAAAATCCTTTTGGAATCTTCAGACATGTTTCCAACAGCACTGAAACATAGCATTTGAGTGCCTCTGCTGTGAGATTGCTGCTTCTGGAACCAAGAACTGAACTGAGAGCCCAGGCCTGAGCACTCAGCTGATGCTGGCTGGCCTCCTGCTCTGGACCAGGTTTAGTTCTGTTTCAGATTCCTGCTCGCACAATATCTTTTTCTGGAAAAATGCTGTCCCATCAAACAGACAGGGCAACAGTCCTACATCTGCTGCAGTTAGAAAATCTGTTCAGCTGAAGGTGGGGATAACAAAACCACAGAGCTGTGTAGCTCTGAGGGAGTTTTGGCTCTGGAAATACACACTCCAGGCCAGTGGGACTCCATCAGATTCCAGCCCTATCTCATTTCTCACTAACTGCTCACAGCAGGCTTTTTCTCACCCACTAAACACAAGAGATTCAGGTCTATCCCTCGGGCACAAAGCAGGATGGCAACAAATTTTAGACAGAAGCTGAGTCCTTGGAGACTGTGTGAGAGGTTCTGACATTATTACATGTATTGACCGTGGGCAGCGATCAATGTGGCTGCTTAAATCACTGCTAAGGCAGATTTATTCCTCTCTGTGTGGCAGAATACTGCAAGCAGCATGTTCTAAATTAAAAGAAGGTGACAGCAAAGCCAAACAAAAACCTGAGCTGACCATACAGACTGTACAGCAAGAGAAGAATGCCTTTCTAGAACCTTGCTCTGCTGGCAAGAGTTGTTTGTTTGTTTTGTTTTGTATTAAGTCATCATTAGTGCTTAATAATCTTCTAAAAGGTGTTGCTTTAGGCTCCTTCCAGCCCAGCCAAACAAGCAGCAAAGGGTTTGTGTTATATAAATCTCACTTCAAAGGCCCCAGCAGCCGGGGTTTGGAGAACAGCTGGAATTGCATTCCCTGTCCATGTGTGTCACAGCACATTCCCTGTCCATGTGTGCCACATCCCTGGATTCCCACCAGATCCATATGTGCTGCAGCTCCCAGCTCCTACTGGGTCTCCATAGGCTGCAGAACCCCAAATCCTACCAGATCTGTATGTTCTACCCCTCTGAGTACCTACCAGCTCTCTGTGTGCTGCAGACTCAGCCAGACATATGGTTGAATCCCAAATGTCATCAGTTCTCCAAAATAGAATCCAGGACAAGCCACTGAAGTCTATAGCATATTCTTATGGCACTTTTTTTTTCTTTTTCAGCTAAAGAGATCCAGCCCATGCTTGTTACTGTGACTCATGGTATCTGAATCATTTTAAAATGCTATACTGAAGGAAAAAAAGCAGCTTTATAGGCGACTCTGTGTGTTAAATCTCCTTTCTACTGTTCAAAGCCAAGCCTGACCTTCCATCTCCTTCCATCCTGATGTCTTTTTGAAAGCTCTAGGCAGAAATTTGAAGAGGAGGTGAGGTATTGTGTTATAGGGAAAGTGAGAGGATGACCAGGAGAGAGTTTGGAGAAGTTGCTGGCAGCATCCTGAGCTGCAGCCTCGCTCGATGCTATCTGATACAGTAATTTTAGTGAATGCACTGTCAGGCACAGGCAGTACAAAACCACGCAGCTGCATTTAAACACCTGCCCACCAAAGCAACAAAAATATTCCCTGCTCGAGGTATCCATCATCACCAAGCCCTTGCTGGATTTGCAATTCAAAGCGTGCCTAACCCACGTGGGAATGCTGTGATTAGCCACACGCCTTGTTAAGCACCTCTGCCTTCTGGGTGGGTACTCGGCGCAGCAGGAGTGAGTGAGATGTTATGAGGTGTTATAACATGTTAGCTGAGCCCTCTGCAGGTCAGCAGCCTCAGGGCTGCACGTCTGGAGGTGCCCCTGGAGCATCCATCCATGGATCCATCCGTCCATTGTCCATCCATCCATGGATCCATCCATGGATCGATCCGTCCATCCATCCATCCATCCATCCATCATCCATCCATCCATCATCCATCCATCCATCCATCCATCCATCATCCATCCTTGTGTCCATCCATCCCTCCATCCATCATCCATCCATCCATCCATCCATAGATCCATCCATCCATCCATCCATCCATCATCCATCCATCCATCCCTCCATCCATCATCCATCCATCCATCCCTCCATCCATCCCTCCATCCATCATCCATCCATCCGTCCATCCATCCATCCATCCATCCATCATCCATCCATCCATGGGTCCATCCATCCATTGTCCATCCATCCATGGATCCATCCATGGATCGATCTGTCCATCACCCATCCATCCATCCCTCATCCATCCCTCATCCATCCATCCATCCATCCATCCACTCATCCATCCATCACCCATCCATCCATCATCCATCCATCCATCCATCCCTCCATCCCTCCATCCAGGGGAGCTGGGCAGGACAGCCAGGCTGACCCAGGGCTGGCCCTGCCTCTCAGGGGTGGATATGCAGCAGGGAGGAAGCTGCCTGGGAAATGGGTGGGAAACCTGCAGAGGAGCCATGCAGAGCTGAACTGGGTAAAACAAGGAGAGGGGAGGCTGCATTCCTGCCTCAGCTTACTTTGAGGAAATCACCATAAGCCCTTTCAGGAGCTTCTGCCCATCTGCCTGGAAACATCCATCCTTTTGTCTCCCAGTGCTGCAGGCTCTTTATCCCCCCTCCTCTCTATTCCCAGCGCGTCCCGTTGCAATTCCACAATCAGACTGGTGCCAGGTGGTGCAGGACAGACAACGCAGCAGCGTGGCACAGCAATCAGACACCACGGTGCCTCAGGCACTGTTTGGTGAAGTTTTTTGGGGCTTTCTTT